AGCTGTAGCATGCAGTATCCCATATCAGAGTGTCAGTTCAAGTCTTAGCTGTTCTGCTTCCAATCCAGCATTTCCACTAATGTACCTGGGAAGGCAGCAGAAGATGGCCTAAGCGCTTGGGCCTCCACCACTTATGTGGGAGATCAGGATGGAGCTCCTGGCCCCTGGGTTTATCCTGGCCCAGACCTGGCTGTTGTGGCCATTTAGGGAGTAAAGATTTATCTGTCCCTCACTCCTTCCCTCTCTATCTCTTCCTCTTTTTCTCGTTCACTTTGCCTTTTAAGTAAATAATTTCTTAAGATTTATTTTATTTATTTATTTGAAAGGCAGAGTTACAGAGAGGCAGAAGGAGATTGAGAGAGAGAGAGAGAGAGAGAGGTCATCATCTTTGGTTCACTCTCCAAATGGCCACAATGGCTAGAGCTGGGCCAATCTGAAGCCAGGAGCCAGGAGCTTCTTCTGGGTTTCCCACATGGATGCAGGGGCTCAAAGACTTGGGCCATCTCCCACAGCATTCCCAGGCCATAGCAGAGAGCTGGATGGAAGTGCAGCAGCAGGGACTCAAACCAGCACCCACATGGGATGCCAGCACTGCAGGCGGCAGCTTTACCCATTATGCCACAGTGCCAGCCCCTTAAGTAAATAATTTTTAAAAATTAAACTTTATTCCTTTTAGTATTTTTTTGTTCTACTTAATACTATTGGTTGAACTCTGTAATTAACACACAATTATTCTTAGGTGTTTAAACTTAACTGAAAAGTGATGTCTGTTAAATATAAAAGTGGGAATAAGAGAGGGAAGAGATGTACAATTTGGGACATGCTCAAGCTGACTTGCCCCAAGTGGTGGAGTTAGAAATGTGCCAGGGGATTCCAATCCAATCCCATCAAGGTGGCATGTACCAATGCCATCTCACTAGTCCAAGTGATCAATTTCAGGTCACAATAGATCATAATGATAGGTCTAAGAGTCAAAGGGATCACATAAACAAGACAAGTGTCTGCAAATACTAACTGATAGAATAAAAAAGGGAGAGAACGATCCAACGTGGGAAGCGGGATACACAGCAGATTCATAGAATGGCAGATGTCCTAAACAGCACTGGCCTCAGAATCAGCCCTTAAGGCATTCAGATACGGCTGAAGAGCCTATGAGAATAGTTTAGGCATGGAAAGCCAAGACACTCTGGCAAAAAAAAAAAAACCTAAATGAAGATCTCTGCGAGTGAGATCCCAGTGGAAAGAATGGGCCATCAAAGAAGGAGATACCTTTCTCTGAAGGAAGGAGAGAACTTCCACTTTGACTATGGCCTTGTCAAAATAAGATCAAAGTTGGCAAGCTCAGGGGGCTTCCATGGCCTTGGCAACTCATGACTAGAGCCTGGGGAGATTGCTGACGCCTTAAACAAGAGTATCAATTTGTTAAGTCAACAACAGGAGTCACTGTGCACTTACTCCTCATGTAGGATCTCTGTCCTTAATGTGTAGTTCAATGTGAATTAATAATATGACTAGTGCTCAAACAGTATTTGGCAATTTGTGTTCTGTGTGGGGGCAAACTGATGAAATCTTTACTTAATATATACTAAATTGATCTTCTGAATATAAAGATAATTGAAAATAAATCTTGATGTGAATGAAATGGGAGAGGGAGCAGGAGATGGGAGGGTTGCGGGTGGGAGGGAAGCTATGGGGGGGGGAAGCCATTGTAATCCATAAACTATACTTTGGAAATTTATATCTACTAAATAAAAGTTAAAAAAAAAATTGAACTCCTCCTACATCTGCTCTCAATCTCCCCTGATACTGGAGCCAGAGTGATCTTTGCAAAATACAAAGCTGATCATGTCACCAGCTTCCTATTTCAGGATTACAATTAAATCCTCAACTTGACTTGCAGGGCTGTTATTGCACCACTTACTATACCAACTTTATCCAACATGTGGTCCACTCCTGCTCTCCAGGCACTTCTGGGAGGTGTCCAGCTACTTCCTGTTTTGAGACTCTCACACTTACTTTCTTTTTATCTAAAATACTCTTTAACTATCTTTCCCCAGCTAACTTTAGTCATCCTTCAGACATTATTATTGATGTCATTTTTTGCAGGGAAAACTTGCCTGGTCTCCAAAACTTTGATTCCATGGTACTTTATCACAATCAAAAAGATTTGTTTAACTGTTGAACATATTTTCTGCTCATGATAGTAAGCTCTTGGGGCCAGTGCTGTGGTGCAGCAGGTTAGAGCCCCAGCCTGCAGCACCAGCTCCCATATGGGCACCAGTTTGAGTCCTGGCTGTTCCACTTCCAATCCTGCTCGCTTCTAACATGCCTGGGAGAACAGCAGAGGATGGCCCAAGACCTTGGGCCCCTTTACCCATGTGGGATACCCAGAAGAAGCTCTTGGTTCCTGGCTTTGGATTGGCTCAGCTCTGGCTGTTGCTGCCATTTGAAGAGTGAACCAGCAGATAGAAGACTACTCCCTCTCTCTGTCTTTACATCTTTCTGAAACTCTTTCAAATAAAAAAATAATTTTTTAAAAAAAGATAGCAAGCTAAATCATATCTGTATTGTTTCCCAACTAGAGCCTAACACACACTTATAATTATTTTTGTATACATTTATGAACAAAGAACTGTGAGTGCAGTATGATTACAGAGTGATGACATTATGTGTTTTTAAAACAAACATGCTAGGTGCAAATATCCAAATAAGTTATCTCTTATTTCTAAAAATTATTTATTTTTATCTGAAAGGCAAAGAGACATAGACAGAGAGACACATGCAAAGACAGACAGAGATCTTCCAATAATGGTTCACTCCCCAAATGCCTGAAATAGCCATCAGGGCCATGCCAGTGCCAGAAGCCAAGAACTCAATATGGGTCTCCCACGTGGGTGACAGGGACCTAAGTACTTAAACCATCATCTGCTGCTGTTTGGGGTATACATTAGCAGGAAGCTGGATCTGAAGTAGGGGTGGGACCCAAAACCAGGGGCTCCGACACCAGATGCACACATCCCAAACAGTGTCCTAACCACTGTGCCAAATACCCACCCCGTGTTAGAAGCAAATGCCCACAGTCAGTGTCAAAAGCAGATAGGGTTGGCCCTCCATATCTATGGGTTCTACAACCAACCACAAGGTGAAAATATACAGAAGAAGCCTCTATCTTGTATTGAACATGTACACTCTTTTTCTTGTCATGATTCCCTAATAATGCAGTATAACATCTGTTGACAAGCCATTTACATTGTAATGGATGACCTGAAGTGTAAATATAAAAATAAGGGACTTGAGTATCTATACATTTTTGGTACCCAGAGGTGAGTTCCTAGAATCAATCTCCCATGGATAACAGAGACAACTACACACATATTCCAACAAACTACTCAGTAATAGTTCGGTAGCCCACAATAATTTGGGATAATCTTGGTATTAATTTACAGATTGCACAAGGAAAAGTCTCAGGGTGAGTGTTGTAGTGCAGTGGTTAAGCCACCACTTGAAACACAGCTGCATCCATATCAGAGTGCCCCATTTGAGTTCTGGCTACTCGACTTCTGATCCACCTTCCTGCTAATGTACCTGTGAGGTAGCAGATGATAACCCAAGTACTTGAGTTCTTGCCATTTGCATGGGAGACCCTGATGGAGCTCCTGGCTCCTGGCTTCAGTCTAGCCTAGCCCTAGCTATCGCTAGCATTTGGGTAATGAACCAGTGAATGAAAGATCTCTCTCTTTCTCTCCCTTTCTCTCTCTCTCTCTGCCTCTCCATCCCTTCCTCCCTCCATCTTTCTTTCCCTCCCTTCCCTTCACCCCTCCTTCCCACCATGTCACTCTGCCTTTCAAATAAATAAATCTTCATTAAAAGGTCTAATTATTTCGTTACCTTTTAGATTTTAAAAATGTTTTATAATATATTCTATTCATTAAACTTAGTTTTGAATTATTTCAGAAGTATTACCTAAGAGTATTCATTGAAGTAGTAATTTCCAACAGAACTTCCTGCAGCAATAGGAATTTTCTATGTTTGCACTGACCAGTATAGCAGCCATCAGCTACATGTGGCTCTTGAATTCTTAAACTGTAGTTATGTACAACTGAGGGAAAATTGTTTAATTTTATTTAATTTTAATTAGCATAAGTTGAAAGATAATATAACTAGTGGTCAAGTTGAATAGCACAGCTTACAGCCATCATAAGAAGACAAGTTCCTAAAATCTTCTGCCCCTAATACAACCATATGCCAAGAATCTTATTAAAACTACTGCATGACCTCAACAAACAGCTGGTTTTCATATATTAAAGTTATTTTTGTATAAAACAAATTAGTGATATTACCATAAAGATACACTTTAAATGCCAGTGGCTACTTTTCAAATATTCATAGCTTTTATTTAAGAATGCCAAAGACCTTGCTCCATTTTGTCAGGCCACAATAGAAGCACAACAGATTTGAAGAAGACTATTATGAACAAGTGAAGGTCATCCATGACCACAAATATTCACTGGAAACAGAGAGCTCAAATCTGTAATGGATTTTGCCTCCTAGGCAGTCTCTCTCTCTCTCTCTCCAGTGATGCAATACTGACCAACATGTAAAAAGGTCAAATCAAGAAGGCAATCATGTACTTTAAACAAAGAGCGGAATCATGAGGCTTCAATTGTGAGTGAAGTTTTGCCAAGAGAACCAACATCATTCAACATCAGAAGGCAAGGGACCATTAACAATGAGCTAGGTCAGTCTTCTTTCTTGACAAAGGGGTTGCTGTACACAACTCCATTGGGTTGAACTTGGTGTGACAAAAGAAGCCTATGTAACACCCACGCCTCTGCTCTATAGCAACTGATTTGGGTAGGTGGCAAAAAGTTCAGAGACCTGGCACATGCATCTGTATTTTCAAGCTCATAGCTCATCATCCGCAAATACAAGAGAAATTCCTCCTGTATGCTTTTATTTACCCTAACATACATACACACACATACAGAAATTTGACTTACCTTAACATTTTCTGGCAAAGGTCTGTGCTGGGACATCCCCACAGCAATCAAAGCTACTACGGCCATGATAGAGGAGAAGCCAAGAATGGCCAGAATATTTTTGTGGCAAAATTTCTTAAATTCAGAACCTAAAACCCAAAGAAAAAGAAAATATCAACAAAAAGTCAACACTTATTTCCTTCCCCTTTCTGATTGGCCTTGTGATGGCTTTCTGGAGATATCAGAATCAGATAAAAGTCCATCTCTATCCATGAACATTTGCCAAGTAATTGGGAAATAATTCAAAACAAAAAGATCTATTTGTACTACACTGAAGGAGAAAGTTGATTTGGTGGCTATGGCAAGAATAATGGACAAAACCAGGTTAGTGATCAGCTGTGAAAAGATGAGAGGGAATAGTTTCAAACTGGCAGTTCGTTTAACAGGTCATATAGATTTATCAATACAAGTAAACAAAAAAGCAACAACAAATAAACAGGGGCAGTCTTCCTCATTTTAAAATCTACCATAAAAGGTTTATGATGTTTTAGAAAATTTAACAATATATCAGCCAACATCCAATTTCACCACTCCTGATATTTCCTGGTTTAGCATGCACTTTGCATTTCAACCACACTTACTTGGTAAACATTAGTAATAGCTCAGAAATTTTTTAACATTTCAGTTCATGATTCACATTATCTTATCTCTTCTGTTTGTAGTCTCACCCTGTCCTGGGACATAAAAAAGTTCCAACAAGGAACCAGGCATTTAGCCTAGCAGTTAAGATGTCAAATCTGTTAGGAGAGTGTCTGGGTTCAATTTCTGGTTCTGGTTCCTGACTCTACTTCCCACCAGTGCAGACCCTAGGAGGGAGCAGTGATGGTATAAGTCACTGAATTCCTGCCACCCAGGAAGACTTGGATTGCACTTTCAGCTCGTAGCTCCAGCCACAGACATTACAGGCATCTGGGGAGTGAACCACGGGATGGGCATGCTCTCACTCCTTTCTCTCTCTCCTCCTCCTCCTCTCAAATATTTTTTAAATGTTCTAACAGCAAAATTATATAAAAGTTATTTTGACAGATCACAAAAAATAAATCCTACAAAGCAATTTAATAGGAAACTATTGCACCATTTTTTCCCTTTCTGGTAGCTCAACCTTTTCCCCTCTCAACTCCCCTACACTGTCCTTGGTTTTGTAAGAAGAAGAATAGAATAGCACAATAAAGAAGTATATGAAACTTACTTGGGTTTCCAAAATTGTGATTTTTTTTTTTTTGACAGGCAGAGTTAGACAGTGAGAGAGAGAGAGAAAAAGAGAGAAAGGGCTTCCTTTTGCCATTGGTTCACCCCCCAAGTGGCCGCTACAGTCGGCGCGTTGAGGCCGCCGTGCTGCGCCCATCCAAAGCCAGGAGCCAGGTGCTTCCTCCTGGTCTCCCATGTGGGTGCAAGGCCCAAGGACCTAGGCCATCCTCCACTGCACTCCCGGGCCATAGCAGAGAGCTGGACTGGAAGAAGAGCAACAGGGACAGGATCCGGTGCCCCAACTGGGACTAGAACCTGGGGTGCCGGCGCCGCAGGCAGAGGATTAGCCTAGTGAGCCATGGCGCCGGCTCAAAATTGTGATATTAACAAACACAGCTCTAACAAGCATGTGCTTTGGATGAACAATTATAAATACAATAGCCAAGAACAGCACATTGTGGTAGGTTTTGAATTTTGAATTATATTACTTTCTTGAGCCATTCAAAAAGGGCTACCAATTTCATTCTGTTGTTTTCCTAAATATGAAATTTCAATTTCTCTATCTCATTTTCCTTCCACATCTCCTCTTGGCATCTAGGTTACTACAGTTGAAAAATACCACAGGGTCCCTTCTCTCTGGAGTTGACAACCCAGTTAGAGAGACGGATAAACCAGAAAAGAAGTACATAAACAGATATTAGGTCATGGTAAGTGCCAAGAAGAAAGTAAAACCAAGGAATGTGATAAAGGGACTTGCAGTAGAAGTTGAGGTAGAAAAGCGATTACCTCGAGGGCTAAGAAAGTCTGAGATGACATTTGAGTTGGTATCTCACCAGCTATGAGAAGGAATAAGAGCATTCCAGAAGAAGGAACAGAAACTGCTAAAGTCCTGAGGTAGGAACCAGCTTGTTGTGACTGTAATTATTTCCTCCTTCCGTAGTGAGAATATTCACTATAATCAATGAACAATCTAATGCACATTTTCCCACAGTTGCCCAGCTTTCACGATATCCACAGTATGAGAATACATTCAAATCTTGCTTCATATTCTTGTTTCCTATTAAAGATGTGATAAGGGACAGGCATTTAGTGCAGTAGCTAAGATGCTGCTTTGGCCACCCTCATCCATACCAGAGCATTTGGGTTCAGACCCCTGCTCTATTTCCAATTCCAACTTCCTGTTCACACACACCCTGGGAGGACCACTCAAGTTGTTGCGTTCCTGGCACCCACATGTGAGACCTTGACTGAGTTCCTGTGTACTGACTTCATCTGACCCAGCCCCAATTGTTGCAGGCATTTGGGGAGTGAACCAGTAGAATGGAAATCTGTCACTATGCGTTTCTGTCTTTCCAAATAAATAAATTTCAAAAAAAAATTATTTAAAAAAGTATGATAAGAAAGAACTTAAGTTAGCGAGGAAGCTTAAAATTTTCCATATATTCTTAACTATTGGTTTGACAAAGGTAAAAAAAAAATGTTATGCCAAAAACAAAGCTGGAGGCATCACAATACCAGATTTCAGGACATACTACAGGGCAGTTGTTATCAAAAGAGCATGGAACTGGTACAGAAACAGATGGATAGACCAATGGAACAGAATAGAAACACCAGAAATCAACCCAAACATCTACAGCCAACTTATATTTGATCAAGGATCTAAAACCAATTCCTGGAGCAAGGACAGTCTATTTAATAGGTGGTGCTGGGAAAACTGGATTTCCATGTTCAGAAGCATGAAGCAAGACCCCTACCTTACATCTTACACAAAAATCCACTCAATATGTATTAAAGACTTAAATCTACGACCCGACACCAACAAATTGTTAGAGAACTTTGGAGAAACCCTGCAAGATATAGGCACAGGCAAAGACTTCTTGGAAAATACCCCAGAAGCACGGGCAGTCAAAGCCAAAATTAACAATTGGGATTGCATCAAATTGAGAAGTTTCTGTACTGCAAAAGAAACAGTCAGGAAAGTGAAGAGGCAACCGACAGAATGGGAAAAAATATTTGCAAACTACACAACAGATAAAGGATTAATAACCAGAATCTACAAAGAGATCAAAAAACTCCACATCAACAAAACAAACAACCCACTTAAAAGATGGGCCAAGAACCTCAATAGACATTTTTCAAAACAGGAAATCCAAATGGCCAACAGACACATGAAAAAATGTTCAAGATCACTAGCAATCAGGGAAATGCAAATCAAAACCACAATGAGGTTTCACCTCACCCCGGTTAGAATGGCTCACATACAGAAATCTACCAACAACAGATGCTGGTGAGGATGTGGGGAAAAAGGGACAATAACCCACTGTTGGTGGGAATGCAAACTGGTCAAGCCACTATGCAAGTCAGTCTGGAGATTCCTCAGAAACCTGAATATAACATACAACCCAGCCATCCCACTCCTTGGAATTTACCCAAAGGAATTTAAATTGGCAAACAAAAAAGCTGTCTGCACCTTAATGTTTATTGCAGCCCAATTCACAATAGCTAAGACCTGGAATCAACCCAAATGCCCAACAACAGTAGACTGGATAAAGAAATTATGGCACATGTACTCTACAGAATACTATACAGCAGTTAAAAAACAATGAAATCCAGTCATTTGCAACAAATGGAGGAATCTGGAAAACATCATGCTGAGTGAAATAAGCCAGTCCCAAAGGGACAAATATCATATGTTCTCCCTGATCGGTGACAACTAACCGAGCACCAAAAAGGAAACCTGGTGAAGTTAAATGGACACTATGAGAAACAGTGACTTGATCAGCCCTTGTCCTGAGTGTTGATGAACAACTTAATACTTTATCCCTTTTAGTATTTTTTTGTTCTACTTAATACTATTGGTTAAACTTTGTAATTAATACACAATTATTCTTAAGTGTTGAAACTTAACTGAAAAGTGATCCCCATTAAATATAAGAGTGGGAACAAGAGAGGGAAGAGATGTACAATTTGGGACATGCTCAAGCTGACTTGCCCCAAATGGTAGAGTTAGAAACATACCAGGGGATTCCAATTCAGTCCCATCAAGGTGGCATGTACCAATGCCATCTCACTAGTCCAAGTGATCAGTTTCAGTTCACAATTGATCATACTGATAGGTCTAAGAGTCAAAGGGATCACATAAACAAGACTAGTGTCTGCAAATACTAACTGATAGAATAAAAAAGGGAGAGAACGATCCAACGTGGGAAGCGGGATACATAGCAGACTCATAGAATGGCAGATGTCCTAAACAGCACTCTGGCCTCAGAATCAGCCCTTAAGGCATTCAGATATGGCTGAAGAGCCCATGAGAATATTTTAGGCATGGAAAGCCAAGACACTCTGGCAAAAAAAAAAAAAAAAAAAAAACACCTAAATGAAAGATCTCTGCGAGTGAGATCCCAGTGGAAAGAACAGGTCATCAAAGAAGGAGGTACGTTTCTCTGAAGGGAGGAGAGAACTTCCACTTTGACTACAACCTTGTCTAAATAAGATCAATGTCTGCGAACTCAAAAGGCTTCCATAGCCTTGGCAACTCATGACAAGAGCCTAGGGAGATTACTGACGCCATGAACAAGAGTGTCAATTTGTTAAGTCAACAACAGGAGTCACTGTGCACTTACTCCTCATGTAGGATCTCTGTCCTTAATGTGCTGTACATCGTGATTTAATGCTATAACTAGTACTCAAACAGTATTTTTCACTTTGTGTTTCTGTGTGGGTGCAAACTGTTGAAATCTTTACTTAATATATGCTAAATTGATCTTCTGTATGTAAAGAGAATTGAAAATGAATCTTGATGTGAATGGAATGGGAGAGGGAGCGAGAGAGGGGAAGGTTGTGGGTGGGAGGGAAGTTATGGGGGGGGGGAGCCATTGTAATCCAAAAGCTATACTTTGGA